TTTTTTTTTTTTTTTTTAACAAGCGTGACAAATTTCAGGGGGGAGGGTTGAGGTGGGATGAAGTGTAAAAATGGGAATTTAGTGAAGGCTCTGAATGGGATAGTGGAAAAGGGATTGGGTTTCGTCGTGTGCTGTGTTATTAATAACAATACATTTGAAATATGAAGTGATCTAACTATTAAACGAGGCATAGCTGGGGGTTCAGGGGGAAAAGAGCTGACGGCGGCGGCGGCAGCAGCAGCAGCAAACCGAACTTATTTTTATATTGAAATGAATTCAAGGGATTGCAGATGTTTAAAGTAGGGTGAAATGCCACTTGCAGTAGAGACATGTCATGGAACATTTATAGTTTGGATTTCTTTATTTTCTTTTTTTATTTCATTGGAGCCCAGTGTAAACGGGTTGCTGCTGGTTAGCTAGGCCCTATGCTCCCCCCCCCCCCCCCCCCCCCCTCCCCAGATGTATGTGGTAGGGATTTTGCATGGTGTTATATTACCCTGCCTACAGTCACTGAGTATCCCTGGCCAAACACACAGTTGGCAAAGAGAGACAGAACAGTGTGAAGAGGCTGTGAGACATTGCTGTACACTGCTCAGCGTTCGGAGTTTAAAAAAAAAAAAAAAAAAAAAGCAGGAAGTGCGCCACCAACTAAATTGGTTTGGTGAGTAACAGTGATAGTGTAGTGGCAGTGGTGGTGTTTTGTATAGTGGTAGAGTTGATATATAACCTATGGCTTTCTATATCACTATATTTTAAGGAATGGGAATAACAGCTGTCAATGATTTTGCATGGGTCCATTGTGATATGTATAGGTACTGATGTAAATAGCCTATCCTCTGCCTGGCTAGGAGAGTCTACGCCGCTTCTTTGTCCCCTCGTGGGTCTAGTAACAGCCAGAGTTTGGCTAGGGATATATCTCAGACAAGTGACAAGCCTAACTGCAACAAAAAATTCAAGTATAAATATATATTTGAATTTTGATGTACTTGCATTATATATATATATATATTTGCGCACACTTCATGCACACTTGCATACAACACCAGCAGACACTGTACACACACCTCACACAGATGAGTGGCTAGTAGCAAGTAAAATAGTTTCCATGGTCTTTTGGAATGAAAAAAGTAGCTATTCTTTTTATTTTTGCCATTTTGGCTGTTTGTTTTTTCAGAGCACTTAGTATAGTTTCTTTATTTCTGAAAATGCTGCCCTTGGTTTCTGTTTTAATTGAGACAATGGAAAGAGATGTTCCTTGAATTCTAAAATGATTCGGAGCACACATAAGTCTTATGGAAACTTTTTTGTTTGTTTGTTTCTAGCCACGTGACTTACGATGGTTTATATTAGCCCCGTAAACCCTAACCCCGGATCGGCTCTGCCCGTGACAGAAGCTGATCTTGGATCAGAGTTTAGGTTTTGTGGATAGAGCAGAACTGTGGTCGTGTGATGTTTGACTGACAGGCACTGTGTGAGGAAGAGGTTGATTGACTCTATGACTATGTCCCCATCAGAGTCTGGGAGCCCCTGTTCTGTGGATTACTGAAACAGCCCTAACATTTAATCATGGACCCGTGAACAGAATTATGTTTACTCTCAACAAAAATATGTTGCATATACTCAGATTTATTCCTTTATTCTTTACCAAAAACTATTTCCTTTTTTATGATGGGACATCTTTTTGGATGTTTCCATTTGGGTTGTTTCAGTATTACATTTTTACGCATGCCTTTTCACTTCCTTTGTCAGTGCAGATTATTACATGACATGCATGGGTTTAGGCGTTAATTGGCAGGGGAATTATGTTAGTGAGGCTCTCTGTTTTTGCTTTCATGAGTTTAAGATGTTATCCACAGAACACGTGCGCTCCTAGTAAGAGTTTAAATCATGAATAATTGAGCATCAAGAACTTACTTCTACACGACAGATGTGTAGAGCAGCATTTATACCTGAAGTCTTCGATTTCATGGCCAATTCTGTGCTTGGCCGACAAATAATGCCAGAATTGCAATGTTTAAAAAAAAAAAAAGAAAGAAAAAAGAATCGGTGCGACGACCAGGAAAAATATTTATATTTCTGAAAACTGAAAATGCACTCCTATTCACAAAAGTGCCAATCCGACCAACAAAGACTGGAGGTTCTTCTGTATCTGTCTTTGACTTACAGATTATTTTTCTTTATATCTTTTATTTACTTGAATGTGCACACATTTTGTGCAGAACATTGCTGCTCTATTTTCCTTATCTTTAGAATTACATTATTTGCCATTGTTTCTTTGGAAAAAGTGGCATTCTTTACTGTGGGCACCTAAATAAGGAATTGAATTAAGGCAGTGTAATTGTCTGGGGGGGAAATTACTTGACTTTAATTGCATAAAACTGGTCTTTCCAGCTACTTGTTGTCCATTGGTTTGATGGTCTCCACTATTGCAGTCTTCTAATGGTTTTCACTGTGCATAGCTAAGCTACGAAATGTTTTGGAATCAAAGAATTGATTTTATGTGGCAAATACAGTAGAGTATAATATTCAGCATTTTCATGAGGTCACAGCCTGTAGCCTGCACCCCTCTTTGTGCAAAAAGAAACTGCACAGACTGAAATATTGTAGTACTTAGATTTGGCACATGATGCAAATTGAGGAAACGTAAGCGACTATCATAGGAGACAATTGCAGGTACTAACCTTATTGTCGTAGTTTACCAAAGTTTTGTCGTCCTGAAGGCTGGTTGAAATTATTACTGGATGTTTTTGTTCTCAATAATTTATCGAATTGGCTTGTGTTGACCCAGTCAGTATGACTGAGAGATTGCTTCAGGTCATTTATAACTTGCTTCTTTTCATTAGAAGCTGCAATAGCTCAGTCCCTCTTTTCTCATTTTTTTTTTAAAGTTCAAGTACTGTTTAGGGAGTTTATAAAATCTGCAAAATAATCCTGAAGACTGCAATAAATATTGTCCCAAATCAGGCACCCCAGAGGCAAAGATCCACCTACAAACTGCTCTCACAGGTGACACTCCTTCCACTGGGTGGAGCTAACAGAGGCAACTACTTGACATTTTTCTAAGATAAAAGATCTGGGATTCAGAAATTGTGCAGTGATTTACATTAAAAAGTATTATAAGTTAAACTATATGTATGTTCTGATACATTGACAGGGATTCAGATGCAATTCTAATCACTTCTGAGAAGTGGCGAAAAAAGCCTCATTAGAACACGTCACAGGAAAAAAAAAGACAATACAATAGGAGGTGTGGATACAAGCCTTTTCTGCTTTTTCTTGATCTTTTTCCTGATCAGGATATTCTGGGCTATATTTTTGGATAATTGTGTTTAGAGTAAAAGTTTGTCCTAGTCAGGCTGCATGATCAGGAACCTTGTTATCTATAGGGGAATGAACAGACATCACTAAATATCTCAAATCTGACTTGTCTTCCGTCCTAGAAGCTGTTCATGTCTATATCAAAATCTAAAGCCATGCTTGGCTTGGTCAAGTAATGTTGTCTACGCTACAAATGTTTACAATGCTACATGTTTGTAAAATACTTTTCATATGCCATCACTGACCAGTCCTGATGTATTCTCTGCTCTGGTCCTCTCATTTCTTTTACATGTATTTATTTTCTCTATTCTTGTTTATGATTTTTCATTTGCTCAAAATTACCCATCTTAAACTGTGACTTGACTTGACTTTACCGACGGTATGAATGAGTGACGACAAACTAATACACTTCAACTGAACATGACACACAAACATGAACATGAAAAAAATGCATACAAGAAACAGCAACAATATTAAAAATGTAAAGAAAATATGTTGAATTTAAAATTGTTCAGTGGAAATACTGTACAAAACAAATAAAGTTATGTTGCAACCCTTTAATGCGAATGTTTCTTCTTGTTTTGACTCCAGCATGCTATGTGAAGGATTGTTACTGGACTCCAATGTGGTATATATATATATATACCACATTGGAGTCATTGAAGCTTGAGTAGCACATCCTTGTCTTTACCTGAAGGTGGGAACCTAGTGCTTATGGAAGTGAATGATTGGCTTGGAAAAATTAAGTATCCATTGTCTAAAATGTCACACCTAATGTAAAATAATTGAACCCAAATTATATTACATTTTAAGGGATACAAGTCCTTTAAAGCTCAAATGTGAAAATGTGTAATAATTATATATGCATACTTTTTTCTCTAATTTCATGGGAGAAGAGTTCCACATTATGTAAGATTAGTAGTGTTGCACATTGGGTTTGGTGAATAACTAAACATCAAGGTATCAAGGTTCATCTATTTGTCATTTTACAGCGCAGGGTTGCTCAATAAAATGGCAGTTCTAGCCCCTTCAGTCTGCGCACACATTGAACATATGTACAGATGCTTAAAGTAGACTGGAGTAAAATAAGAATAAAACAATATATCCAGTTACTTATATAAATATATACCTACATGCAGCCTTCATAGACCATACATTTACAAAAGCAATCTGCATTGCATGTCTTGTCAAAATCCTTTATTTGATGTTATTTAATTTCAATAGATAGCTCATTTTAACCTCAATCAACCCGTTTCAGTAGAAAGCTGTCAAATAGATTTTTCTTCTTTCAAATTAGCATTAACAATAGAGATGGGGGAAAGGAAAGAGCTTCTAGGAATAAATCCCTCTGCATCCTTGGAGAACAAACCTCCAGTGAGGTATTGACTTATTGCTGAGAAAATGCACAATGTTTTATTTTGTTTACATTTCCGACGCCTTTAATGCAATGTATTTCACCTAGGACAGTGTTTTTTTTAGTAGATGTTTTATTTTTTCAGAGCCACAGACTTTCGGATTTTCTGAAAAACACAAGTAGTAATTTATGAATCCTGTAGATGGCAGCAAAGCAACACGCTGGGATGTAAACCGCCATTAAAATCAACACAGAAGAAGAAGAATCCAAAGTTGTGAGCGGAAGTGTTTTTCTGGCTCATGCTGTTCAGGAAACCTGCAGTTCACAGACACAGTAGCTATTTCCTCATTGAGCCTGAAGGTAAACAATTCCCTAATATCTGACAAGGCGGAATATCATTTAGAAACAAGTACACATACAGTCCGTCAGTGTTTTTTAGATGTTTGTGTCTTTGATACACGAGCTAATAGTGGCTAACTGGCAGTCGTGCAAGCTAATTTCATCTGGCGGCTAGCGAGCGTTAGCATGTGCTAGCTAACGTAATGTGAAAGCTAACGTTAGTAGGAGAGGACACACCTGATAAGAAATGGAGATAAAATGTGCTGTGACATTTTGAAGTCCACGTGCCATGCTAAAAGTAGTATTGTTAATGTAACGTCATGTGTAGTAAGTGCTTTTGTAACGAGTAAGCTACAGGCTAACTCACTGATGTTAACTTACAGGAGGGTGGCACAGAATCACATATAACGTTAACTTAGCTACAGTTCTGGCGGTTAAAAGTTTCCATACTAGTTATTAATTATAGTTATATTATTATTAATTATAGTTATTATCAGAACCAAGATAAGACGTATTAATTTGCAACTTCAGTCCAGCTTTCACAAAGCAGCGGTTACCCTTAGCTGTGACATTACAGTAAGCTATGTCTGGCTCGTCCGTTGCTAATACAACGTTAGGCTTTATACAGCGGAGTTAGCAACACTTTATTTAGTTAAAGAGTCAATTCAAGGGCAGTTCGGTGATTCAGTTGCTGTTTTACGCGAGGCTGTGTCGTTACAGCGGAGTCTGTGTTGGACCTAGAAAAAGAAAAACATGTTTATGGCGTTTCATTTTTTTTTTTTTTACTGCGTCATTTGGGTTAAAATTCATGAAATGGCTGAAGCGTCAACGAGCTCCTTTACGTGTTTACTCTAAAATTATACATAGGTGTCATTGTCAGTAAGCCAAGTACTGCATGTTTTTTTTTTTTTTTTCTACTTGTAACAGATACCAGAGATGAAAAAACAGGACACAGAAGAGTCAGTCAGCCAGGGCAGTGAGGATGCTCCACCTGCAGCCGGAGAGACGGAGCAACCTGCAGCTGCGAAGGACAGCTCGGACGGCAACAGCCCCAAAGAGTCTGAGCCACAGACCCCACAGACAGAGACCCCACAGACAGAGACCCCACAGACAGACACACCTCCACAGAGTGACGAGGCGGGAAGTGAAGGTAACATTACGTGTCCCTGTGGTTGGCAAATCCCGAAAGCGTACACTGATTTGTACTTCTTCAAAGGATGTTTTTTAATAAATCAACCACAATGCTTGATACATATTGATAATTGGACAATCAAAAACCTGCCATATCGTGGTGCTTAATAGCAACCACATTTACTCGTGCAGGATATCACTCTTGGGTACTTGAATGTATTAACAAAACATTGTATTTCAAGTGCCTCAAGTTTGTGTCACTGTCATGTTTTGTTTGGAGAAAAATCAGCATTAAGTCATGACCAGGAGTCGGACATGCAGGGTGTATTGCCAGCAGCACTTTCAGATCCTGGGTTTTGTTTCGTAGGGTGTGTTTTATAGGCTCACAGCTTCAGTGCAAAAAGTCACCAAAAAATTGCTTTCTTTTTAGTCATGTTTTTTTTGTATCTCTTTGCTCTGTCTAGTCGCAGAGGCGCCACTGTCTCAGTGTGACATGGCTGAGGAGCTGAGCCGGCAGCTGGAGGACATTCTCAGCACCTACTGTCGGGAAAGCATGTCGGACGACGCCAGCTCCCTGCCCAACGGCCAGTCACACAGCCTAGAGCTCAATGGTCTGACCAGGGATCTGGACAAGCCAGCGGAGGGCAAAGTCAATGGAGCAAACAACGGGGTGGAGAAGGAGCAGAAGAAGACTCAGGAGAAGAAGAAAGTGAAGGGTTTGGGTAAGGAGTAATTTACTGTTTATATCCATTTTGCTGACGAGCCCTCCAGAGACTAAAACGTCTCGAAATTGTCTCCTCATTGCACACTGCTCACCCCGTAGAGATTGTATATTTTTACAGATTGGTGATACTATCACAGTGTGTAGTGAGCACCGGAAACTTGCCCGTGTACCATCAGTATTATACAGATACACAAACTAAAAATCATCTTTTAAACTAAAACTAACAGGCTCCTGTCTCTGTTTTTCCTTGTTTATGCAGGAAAAGAAATCACTCTTCTCATGCAGACTCTGAACACATTGAGCACCCCAGAGGAAAAGCTTGCAGGTCTCTGTAAGAAGTATGCCGAACTGGTGAGTGTTTCCTGCAAAAGGGATTCTCTTTTATTCTTAAATCTAGAATGTGGCACTACACTTGATATTGGTCTTCTCTTAATTCACTACAATCATTTTCTAGTGTGGATATACATTTTAAGAAATTCCCCCTGCTGCCTTCAGTAGTTAAGGAAAATTGTTCTCTCTTGTTGGAATAATCTTTACAAAATAACAGACGTATACTCACGGACATTACTGTGATTTCTTATTTTATTCAGTCATGTTGGTAGTCTGTCTGTCAGTTACACAAGACGATGAGGGGATAAAGTACCTCAGACTTAGAAAGTGAAATATGGCGTTTTGTCACTAAGTTCAGAGTTAAGATAGTAACTGAACTGAGCATTTGTGGTGTCTGATAAAGGTGTATTACGGTTAATGGAAAGTCAGGCTCCTGGTGGTTCCTGTGAAGGTAGAATACAGTCTGAGTGAAAATGGAAAAACACCCGAGTAACATACATTCAATGGTGCCAACTGATTTAAAGATGCATAAATAACCCTTGATGTAATTACTGGTCCAGTAGCCTACATGACCAGATACTGTTTTATTAAAAAATTGTAAAATCGGATTTAAAAAAAAACAATAATTGCTTTTCTAGACTTCTGAGTTAGGACACACACAGTACACACACAGTACACACACAGTGTCAGCCAATGGGACTTCTATGCAAACAAGGAGTGTACTTCAATGTGACGCAGCTATCGTTCTCAAACAGACACAGACTGGTGCAATGCGGAGCGCTCTGTCCTACGACCTCAATACATGCCAGGGTGTTGTGTAGCATTTTGCAGCTCTAATGATGACCTCGAATGATCTCCTGGGGCTGCATATGTTGTAGGAAGGTTTTATATTGACTGTGTGTGTTTGTGCGTGTACGTTTGCAAGACAGGCTATTTGTTCAGTTGTGTGTAAGCCTGAGAAAGCTGATATGTGTGATTTGGCAGCATGTCAGAACCAATAGAGGAAGATTAGTCTGCAGTGCAGTTGTTGGTTGGAGGAAGACAAAAGCATCTGAATTGTCATTTACACAGCAGCTGAAAAATGTGTTGTTTCAGCATCATGTCTGCATGTGCTGTAGTCATATTATACTATATTTTTGAACAGATTATTAGAAAACAAAGCAGTTTACGACATAGTAGTATTGTTTTAATATTAAAAAAAAGCTTGGGTTGATGAGTATTTATTATCCCAAACTGATTTAAAATGTCAACTGTAACACATAATGTAATCAAAAAACACCTCAAACCATATGTGTGTCTTTGTGACAGCTGGAAGAGCACCGCAACACCCAGAAGCAGATGCGAGTGCTGCAGAAGAAGCAGAACCAGCTGGTCCAGGAGAAAGACAACCTGAGGAACGAACACAGCAAGGCCATCCTGGCTCGCAGCAAGCTGGAAAGTCTCTGCAGGGAGCTGCAGAGACACAACCGCACACTCAAGGTACAAAACAGGCCCCGCATCATGAATATAGATTCCTAACTGCTGCATTGATGTGATCAATGACTTCCTGCAAGCATAGCTGTTCTATGGTCCTGTGTGTAATTAGGAGGTTATCAGAGTTCTCAGATTAACTACCTTCATCTCTTATGTGGAGAATACAGGGATTTGAGTAAGAATCAGAACATGGTATATTTAGAAACATTTGCTTTTACTCCACATTTTAAAAATGTATTGATTTGGGACAGATTTGACCAAACTGGTCGATTGTGATTCTGAGATAGACCAGCTTTCTGAAGAGGAAACGTTACGTTATCATGTTCCACTTCCCTCTGCAGGAAGAAGGGATGCAAAGAACACGTCTGGAGGAGGAGAAAAGAAAGGAAGTGACCTCCCATTTCCAGGTGACACTGAATGACATCCAGGCTCAGATGGAGCAGCACAACGAGAGGAACGCCAGTCTCCGACAGGAGAACACCGAGCTGGCTGAGAAACTGAAGAAGCTCTATGAACAATACAAACTACGAGAAGAGGTACGTTGGAAGGCCCCCCCCCCCACAACTGTATGTTTTAAGTACAGTATGTGAGTTTAATTTCAAGCTGTTAGTCCTAATTTTACAGGATGTGTAACAGGCATTTTCATTTCTCTGACCTTTTGAAACCCCCACCAGCACATAGATAAAGTGGTCAAGCACAAAGACCTGCAGCAACAGCTGGTGGACGCCAAGCTGCACCAGGCTCAGGAACTGCTGAAGGAGTCAGAAGAACGGCACGACAGAGAGAAAGAATTTGTAATTATACTCTCAACAGGCACTCACACATTTACAAAGTACAAGTCCTGTTTGCAAACATAAATGGTAATTATTTCTTATTCCCTTATTTCCTCAGCTGCTGAAAGAAGCAGTGGAGTCTCAAAGGATGTGTGAGCTAATGAAGCAGCAGGAAGTTCACCTCAAGCAGCAGGTTTCCCATCAGTCTTTACTCTTCACCTTTAAAACCCGACTATTACTGACTGTACCATCAACATTTTCCCTTTTGTTGCAACAAGCATCTTTATATGATCAAACCCGCATGGTGTTGTTTTCCAGCTGTCACTGTACACAGAGAAGTTTGAAGAGTTTCAGACCACTTTGTCCAAGAGCAACGAGGTCTTCACCACGTTCAAACAGGAGATGGAGAAGGTGAGGAGTCTGTTACTGTCAGTGTGCAAGATGGAGAGACGGAAGACTTGTTTCCTTCAGCTGAACGTAACAGTCTTATCCTCTGTGTTACAGATGACTAAAAAGATAAAAAAGCTGGAAAAGGAGACGGCCATGTATCGGTCCAGGTGGGAGAGCAGCAACAAGGCTCTTCTGGAGATGGCAGAGGAGGTAAAGCAGCCTTTTGTTTTTACTGTCAAGCTCTACGCAAAAACTCTTCCCCCCTTAGATAGATAGAGAGATAAGAGATATAAGAGATAAATATATAGATATGTGTTATCCCCCACCCACTGAGACTGAATTATAAGATTAGTATATATATAACACCTTGTATTATTCTACTACTATTAGGAACGATATAACAGATACAGATAGATATATATACCCCCAGGTACCGAGTATTGTTATTCGCCTTTTGGATGAATACTAGAGATAGATATATATAGATATATATATATATATATGCTTAAAGACACCTAAAGGAATAATGATTATACATTTTTAAAGTAACCCTCCCAACCCTGGTCCAAAATTGTGCAGCATTTGATTGTTGGGTTAGAATTCAAATATCAACTGAAGCTTTAAACAATTTGATAAAGCCCTAAAATTCAGTTCAGATAACTGTAACACAAAAGCACAAGACTGATATTAGCATTGTGTGTGTGTGTGTGTGTGTGTGTGTTTTGTTTACAGAAATCTGTGCGCGACCATGACTTTGAGGCACTTCAGGGTAAAGTCCAGCGGCTCGAGAAGCTGCGGCGGGCGTTAAAGGTTGAGCGCAATGAGCTCAACAAGAAGGTTCAGAACCTCAGCGATCCGCACAGTGGCACCGCAGGAGCCCCCACCTCCGACCCAGGGACTGACTCCCCCTCTCCGCCACCTACAGACTCTTTGCTGGAACCCAGCAGCCACCCTGTCCCAGATATGACCCCCTGCTCCCAGTCCTGCCACTGTGACCCAGAACTGGACACAGACGCCCTGCTAGAAGGGGCAAAGGCTCAGCCCATTGCTGCACAGGAATGAAGCAACGCTGCTCACCGTCTCCCCTCTCCCCTTCAGCATCAAGCCACCAAACAATAAGCCACCAGCCTGCAAGCCACTACTCCTCTGCTGGATGAAGCTGATGTTAAACACTGATCCAGAAGCAGATCAGATAGCAAGTTTAACTTGTGTCCTCCCAGCATGCTCTGCAGGCTTTATAAAGGTGATGGGAAGATTGTGCCTCATGTCAGTACATTTACATGCACACCATAATTCAGTTACTGTGAATAACCCGATTAATGCAATAGTTTGATTCAATGGTCTGCAATAACCTCATTTCCCCAGTGATCACATTTTATGATTAATTTATTAGTCTACAGAAAACGTCTAATTAGCATCAGGTTGAGGGGGGATATGGAAGATATTTTTGGTGGTGTTTTTTTTTTTTTCAAGTTGCTAAATGATTTAATTTATTAGTCGTAAAATTTTAGATGACACTCCAAAAAAAACATGCTACACATGCTGCTATTTCTGTATAGAAACACGGGTTTCAGTCCACAACCTCTCTGGCATATGCACTTAATTCAAGCATTGAAAGATATCAGGCTCGAGGTGTATACATATCACAGTCATCAAGAAGACAGCTCTGTTATGCTCGGTCCAACTTAAACCTTTACTTGACGGCCCTGTTTACATGATAGCTGCAGCAATCTGTAATGTCATGATCAGTGTGCATGTAAATGCACAAACTGCCTCTGTGCTCTTTTATTACACATTCCCTTTTTTAACTTGCATCAAACATGGAACTGCTTGGCAGGATAAATAACAGTGCTGCTTGGGATGACACAAGACAAACAGGTATATGGCAAGAGGATTTATCAGAGGTTGAATTATTATATTACGTTGTGTGTGTGCGCGTGTGTGCGTGTTGGGCCACTTGTTCTCATGTGCATCTTCAGTGTCAATGTTATGGGCAGGGGTTTGATTCCTAGTTTGCAGTATCCTAAAGGCCACTGATAGTAACTTCATGTTTTTCTTTCAGGTGAAGTCTTAAAAGAGAGAGAGAAACAAATAATGTTATAGCTAATTCAAATGACAAAATATAGAATTCTACATAATTATCGTTTTTTTTCTTATTTTTTACACAGCTCAAATGTTCAGAACACTTTACAATGTTTGTTTCACCAGAGTTTTCTGTTCTTTAGGGAAATGTTTCTTTGTTTTCTTGTTTTTATCACACTACTGCATTTTTGCGGTGTTTGATTTTGTGGTCTGTATTTATTGTTTGAAGCATAATCTCTGATATTGAAGTGTATGTATCTTACAGAGCACCACTATAAAAATAAAACAGTTTATTTTTATTAATTTAGAAAATATATCAAGGTGTTACTTTTATGACCAACTTTTCATTCCCAGCCTTTGTTCTTAGCTCCATTTGTTTCGTGTTTCTTTTTTTTTCTGCTTATCGTGATAACGACCACTTTAAACTTGTTGAACTCCATCTTCGTGCGTTGGTACGAGTGGTGTGTCCATGTGTCTGTGTGAGAGGCTTATGTGGTTAGGATCGTCTCCTCCCAGACCTGGTAATTGCAGTAGCTTGTGATCAGGTTTTAACTAGAGAATGTTCAAGGACCTCTATGCAACGCTTGCCTCTTGGTTTTATTCTGTGGCAGTCTGAACTGACAAGCACTTAGCTGAGAATGTATATTCATTATATCAACTGTCCTGCATGGATGTATTATGTAAACAGACAACATATCTCGAAGCAGAACTCTATTTTTGCTTAGGTTTGAACCCGGTTAATTTCCTCTCAATTGTTATTTAACATCGACCGACATATTGTGCATCTCCCTGATGCTTTTAAAGGGCGCAGTGACTGAGCCGAGTGGCAACAAGGAGGGAGAATTAGAGAAAATGTTATTGGACTACTGAACATGTCCATTTCCTATCTTCAGACATGTACTACTTGATATGTAGCATCGGTAACAAGGTGTCAACTTATAGAATCAGTCATTTTTTAATAGAAATGACAAACCTAATTTCTTCCATTGTCACACAGGACAGATTCATTGTACCTCCGGTCCAGAGGTGGATGTGGAGCATGAGAAGGAACCAAAGATGTTTCCTTTTTGTTTTTTGCAGTACTTTTATCTGGCCCTGTATATTTGGTTTCTTGTTAAATAAAAGATGTAACAATGTATGTTTGAGTTTCTGGTTAATTGACCTTGTTGTCTTATTTAGGACTAAAGATGTAAAAGCATGTTTTGATATGATAAAGATGAATGCAGCACTGTTAATTCTTCTCCAGTTTCAAATCTGTCAGGGATTCTCAGATGTGTGAACTTCATTTAGGGACAAATAAGAAAAGCAGTCCGATTTTATTTCTTTGTGGCAAAATACATATTACACATTTGTATCAGTTTATACATTTTCTATCAGTATACAGGTGTTTCTTTTTTGTTTATGCTGTTTTCCAGTTCCTTTTAATTACGCTCCTTCAATGGAAATAATATCCCATTAAAACACATTAATTCCGATATTATTAATCGAAAATGTAGGGTACTTTAGGGTAAACCGGTAATAGTAACGTTAAGTCGTATACGATGTGCTGGAGCGGAGTATTGCAGTAGAGGGCGCACTAGCGCCATCTTGCCTTTTGACACCGGAAGTACGTCACCTTCCTCTTCCGCCGCGGCTCCGGCGCCTGAAACACGAGTGTTCATCTTTCTCTCTTTACGCGAGGCGCAGTGTATAAAGTGGACCGACTGGCAACACTTAGCCGAGGAAAATGGTTAGTATATTCCTTAGTGACAGTCTCCTAGGAGCTACATCTTGGCGGGAACAGTGCTTATTCTATTGCAGAGACTGTTAGCTCCATCTTAGCGAGCATATCTAGCTAATGTTAGCTTAGCTTTCCAATCAGCTAACGTTAACAAACCTTAGCTGCATGATGTGGGTGACGCAAGAAGACTCACCGGCCCCCGGCAGCTGCTACAGCTGGCCAGATGTGCCCTTATGGAAAGATAAATGAGTAAAGCTGACACTAGTAGCTGGTTTGTTATCACAGACCACAGCCTCAACATGTTTCCCTATTAAAAACGCCATTACGCTTCACTGAGGGACCTGCTCGGTTGAAGACGTCTAACTCTCGTTGGCTCTAGCAGCTGGAGCTCTTTTCTAAATCGGCCATTGATATGCTGATGTACACTCCTCTCCACAGAAACCCATCCTGCTCCAGGGCCACGAGAGATCCATCACTCAAATCAAGTACAACAGAGAAGGAGACCTGCTCTTCTCTGTAGCTAAAGACACGGTGAGTTGACAGTTATTGAGAGGCCCTGACCCCTGACCCCTGACCCCTGCCCTCATCATATTATCCCCACATGCAGTTTGCTTGCTGTTAACTTCTTCTGGTTTGGTTTGGTATCTGTTCTGTCTCTGTAGGTAACCAACGTGTGGTACTCTGTCAATGGCGAGAGGCTCGGCACCTACAATGGCCACACAGGAGCTGTGTGGTGTGTCGACTGTGACTGTATCCCTTTTCAGAAAGTTCCCTTGTTTATGTTGTTTTATGTCACGTTTTATCTTTATCTAATGTATTGCATGCATACAGTGTCCGGAGCTGTTGCCTCCTTAACATATCCTCCCTCAGGGGACACTAAAAACGTGTTGACGGGATCGGCAGACAACAGCTGTCGACTGTGGGACTGTGAGACCGGTGGGTGGAAACAAGCTGCAGTGCAAGAGACTTTTGTCGGCACAGATTTCAGTGTCTGAAAGTGAAAAAATTCAAGCAGCAGTTTGACATACTATTACGACGACTACTACATCTGTTAAACCGCGTGACTCCGTCCCTCAGGTAAACAGCTGGCGCTGCTCAACACCAACTCTGCTGTCAGAACGTGCGGGTTCGACTTCAGCGGCAACATCATCATGTTCTCCACAGACAAGCAGATGGGTTACCAGTGCTACCTGAACTTCTTTGACCTGAGGGATCCGCAGCAGATTGGTACGTACCACACAATGCACACATGCGTCTTTTATTATGCAGCAGCTTATATTTGTTTACCAGGAAGGTGTTGACCTTTAAAACATGCCAGCCACATCCAGTGTTTGTCTGAGGTTAATCTAAATGTGATTCGAGCTCCAACAATTTGTCGGTTAGTTGTCAACTAATTAATTAATCTGCAACCCTTTTCACAATGATTAATCGTGAGAAAAACCTTTCCAAATTCTCCGATCTAAGATTGACAAATGTGAATATTTTCTGGTTTCTTTAGTCCTCTGTGACGTAAACTGAATATCTTTGGGTTGTGGGAAACAGTGAGGGACATTTTTCACCATTTTCTGGAACAAACAACTTATTGATTAATCAAGAAAACGTTCGACCAATTAATCAATATTGATAACAATTGTTAGTTGCAGCCCTTCATTTGACATTATACTTGTTAAACCACATACTATAAAGCAAGTAACTCGTATGTGGCTCTGTTTCGAACATCAGCAGAGATAGTTGGATATTTTTTATGCAACCTAATGTAAGTTGATTGAAAATCATTCTGTTGCAAATGTTGAATGTATCTTTTTTTTTTTTTTAATGACAAAAGTGAAAACAGCAATATTCTGCTGGAAAACCACTTTCTGAGCGTGAGTATGATGAGTGACTCTGTCCCCCTGTCTGTGCAGAGGACAACCAGCCCTACCTGTCCATACCTTGCAGTGACCACAAGATTACCAGTGCTGTGTGGGGACCTCTGGGAGAGTTTGTTATTGCCGGCCATGAGAACGGAGAGTTCAACCAGTTCAGCGCCAAGGTTAGACACATACTGTCTGTCTGGGAACATATGGGAATGTGATGAGCTGTGTTCATGTGGTACTGGCTGCAGGGTTTAATACTAACAAATGTGATATTGGTTAAGGAGCCCAAAATAATACATGTACTAGAATGGGAAATGCCTTCTTAGTTTGCCAGCAAAGTCTGTCACCCGCTGTAGGTTTTTTAATGGCTGATGCTGAAATTCAGAGAGCAGGGCAGCTAAAGGCTGATATCAAAACAAAGAAAAGTCATGAGTAATTCCATTATTCCATACACATTACAGTCTAATATATGGGAGTTATAGTACACGGCTCAGAAGTACCTTTTTAACCACCATCATTAAACCTACAAGCGGCGCACTGACATCATTCCACAGCAGCCACACTGACAGCATCAGCTGCTGATGAAGCGCAGGCACCGGCCAATGCCAGACAATCGGCTTATAACAAATATATTGCAGTGATTAAGTATATAAAGCATGTAAAGGTGAGCTTTCAGACAAAGATATCCAGCAGCTTGGCTTGAAGAGAAGAATTGCTTTTATTTTCAGTATCTTTAAAGTTGAATGTGGTGCCTGTGTTATTTACGGACAGTCCGGAGAGATCCTGAAGAAAGCCAAGGAGCACACCAAGCAGATCAATGACATCCAGACATCAGTGGATCTCACAATGTTCATCAGTGCCTCCAAGGACAACTCGGCCAAGGTGAGACCCTGGTCTACTCCCCTGGCCCTTTGACATGGCCACAGCTAGACCGCTTGCTACTTAAGTTGTATAAAAGGATTTGGCATGTGTATATATAATCCTTGTTACTGGTGATTTATGTCGTATGTGCTTCCTCTCAGCTGTTTGACTGCGCTTCTATGGATCACATCAAGACTTTCAAGACGGAGAGACCTGTGAACTCCGCTGCCATCTCCCCCATTATGGACCATGTAAGTGAAGGCTCGCACAGTAATGTCCTTTCTAAAAACACGTGTCCTATGACCATGTACAAAGGTTTTCCAGTGAGGGCTTTTTAGGGCTGCTCAATTAATTGAAATATTATTGAAATCGCAGTATGGCCAAGAGGCTGCAATGTCTTTGATAAAGGTAAAATGTGTGCAAACAGCATTATAATGAAATACTGTAGTTCTGTAGAGCAAATTTTGTTCTCCAGATTTAAGAAAACATGTTTGTTTGGTATAGACAAATTTCACATCATGACTTTGGCCTTTTTTTCTCCAGTGAAAGTTAAATTTGTGATGCATAAATGACCATTTCCACACACCAATAATAATCGCAATACGATGCTTTTGCCATATGATGCAGCCCTAGAGATTTGTCAAAGGCAAACTGTATTTCATCACTAACGTTTGACGTGTGTGTGTATGGTGTGTGTCGGATTCAGGTGGTGATGGGCGGTGGACAGGAAGCCATGGAGGTCACCACTACCTCCACCAGGATTGGAAAGTTTGAGGCCAGGTGAGGGGGTGCTCGATCCCACTCCACTGTACTGTGTGTAGTTTGTGACTTTCAGCATTAACCTTTCTTCTCTATCCTCAGGTTCTTCCACGCTGCCTACGAAGAGGAGTTTGGCAGGGTCAAAGGTCATTTCGGCCCAATTAACTGTGTGGCATTCCACCCCGATGGCAAGAGGTAAGAGACAGACATAATTACAGTGCCCTATAATGTAAAGCAGCCTGGTCAAACCTGGGTTGCATGTATCACTGCTAACATGTTTGCTGTCCTGTGCTTATTGTTTACAGTTACAGCAGTGGAGGAGAGGACGGATACACAAGGATTCATTACTTTGACCCACAGTACTTTGACTTTGAACTGGAGGCATAAACAGTCAGGCTCTTCAACCCCACAGCTTCAACTAACATTGCGCTCAGTCCAGTCTGGAAGAAGGAATAACGGACTAAAGTGCATTTACAGCCTTCTTCCCTTCATCTGAACTGATCTGAAGTCAGGGTACAGGTCAGAGTTAGAGAGGTTGAGAATAAATTTGACCTGTATCCTCAGATTACTTTAAATAAAGGGAAAGAGGTCAGAAGAGGCGACTGCAAGAGTGTGGTGTTTTTTTTTAAGTCATTTTTCTAACATCACTTGCAAACTGTGTTGGTGGGATCAGAAGCAGTTTTTGTACCTTGGATCTGCAAAGCTATCACGACTGGACTTTAAAACCCACACTCCCTGATTCCTGAAGTTTATTTAATCTGATTCTACAATAAGTAGGATTTGAGTTGACTGATTTCTGTTGTAAGCCATTCCACCACAAGTCATCATAAAACTACTTAATTCAAGTTGAGTCTGTGTGATCTCTGCAACTGTCAATCATTCAGTGTAATTACATAAACATGTTACCAGAAATAAAACAAGGCTCATACAATGTAATCTTAA